GACTGAAGATGAGCACACAGGTGCAGCAGAAGCAGGATTTAAAGTGATTTAAACCAACAAAAAGCTGAGCTCCAGGCAGCTGCACAGCCAGGAATGTGTTGTCTTTGCTTGAACTCTCAACAAAAATCTCCAGACTCTGCCTGAGGAATGGGGTTTAAGGTCTGATTGTGGATGGGGCTCCTGAGGGTGAGCAGGCAGGCCAGGGCTCCTCGGTTCCTGCAGGTGTTTGAGCATTGGTGCCTCTGTTCCCTTGAGATGTCCCACTGGCAGATCCCAATCCTGAGCTGCTGGGGCACCTTGGGGACACCCTGGGAAAGGCTCCAGGCCCCCACACTCCATCCTGCAGAGACAGGGCTGACATCCTGGGTGTCATTGCTCTCAGCTTCTCCCAGCCCCAATCCACTGTCCCTGCAGTGCTCCCCTTTCTCTCCAGCCTGGGGCAGGGATGGCAAAGCTTGTCTGGCAGTAGTGACGTGCTGTTGTTTTGGATATTAGGGAAATTTTTTTAATTGGAAGAGGCTGCCCAGGGAGGTGCCAGAGTCACCATCCAAGAACTGAGCACATGTGGCCCTTGGTGGTTCAGTGGCCATGATGGGATGTGGTTGAAGGTTGGACTTGATGATCTTGGAGCCTTTTCCAATCCTAATAATTCCATTATTCAGCCCAGACTTCACCTGCTTTTTATTTTCTCTATCACTATTTATTTTCCTCTTTGCCATGCCCCACCTCTGTCCTGTAGGTTCCTTTGATAGGCTATTTATTTATTCTCTTGGAAACTTTGGGTATCATGATGAATTTTATTTCAGCTGCCAGGCTGTTAGGTTTAATCCAAACCTTTCTGTTGGTGCTTGAATTTGGATGGATTTGGGCAGTTTTATCCCTCCTCCCTCTTTCCATCCCTCCTTTCTCCCTCAGCCAGGCAGAGGCCACCCCCTAATCCCAACCACCCCCACCCTGCAGACACAAAAACTAAAAATAATTGGGGAGAAATAATTCTTGGAGGATTTTTGGTTGCTTCAAATTCTGCATCCTGTTTGCATAGTTTCATTTTCCTGGAATGTTTTCCTCAATGTCCATCTCAGCTGCTCCTCCTGTGGGGAAGCAGAAGGACTGAGTAGTTCAGAGAGTGTGGAAAGGAACTGGCACCAGGGGTGTGGCAGAGAGTTTTAAATGAATTTTAAAAACTAAAATATTTGGAGGCTGTCTTGACTCCCAAAAACAAGATGACTCTTGCAAAGCATTTGGTTCTATCAGGAATGTCTCTGTGCTCCAGATCACAGAATATTAACGTGAGAAAATAATTTTAAATCAGTAATTTTTGATAAAAACTTGATTCATTCCATCTTTGAGTGGTGAACACCAGGGAAAAGTGAACAGCTGTAGGTTTGAGGTGTCCTGATATCTGGAGTGTCTTGTCATGGATTTCATGGGTTAAAAACGTCTTTGTGTGTTTACATGTCTTAATTTTATCTTTTTATTTAAAAAACATCCTGCAGAGTTTTATAAAATACTGATGATTTCCTGAAGGAGCAGTTAACCCTCCAAGGCTAACTCAATATTTAATAGCTAGGGAGCTGTTGTTGTGTTCTTACAATGTGTATTATAGCAAATCCCTGCGCATGAGCGACAGAGACTTTTCAACTCTTCAATATATCCAAGGTTTACACATGGTAAAAAAACTCCTTTATGTACAGTAAGTAACAGCCTGCAAAATTTAGTCTAAAAACTCGTCTTTTTTTAGTCTTAGAAATGCAAACACCTGTTGGAAGCTTGTATATTTTTACTACGTCGTGTTCGGCCCACAGCGAACTCACACAACTGTGCTATGAATCCCTGAAAAATTGAGATTTCCAGTGGGAATTGCTGTCACAGCCTTAACTCTAGTGTTCTAAAAATGGTGCTGAAATACATTTTTGTGTGTGGATGTGGGTACCTGATCCGAGTCCGTGAGACTTCCAAGGCAAACCAAGCACTTGGAGTTACTACTCCTGGTAGTAACTGCAGCCACACCGGGGAGCTGGCAAATGTGTAAATAGTTGGGAAATAATTCCACCAGTGGGAAATTGGGAGCAGTTCCTTGCTTTGGGGGTTTTCACTGGCAAGCACTGCAGATCTTCCTGGGTTTGGGGTCTGTGAGGAGCTGTTTGGGGGGTGGGGGGTGAAATCCTGCCGGAATATTTGCAGGTAAAATACAAATCCGCCGTTTCTCTTCCTAAAATTCTTCCTCAGAGAGTGGTGGCTGCTCGGGTGTGTTCAGAACTCAATGTCTGAGGATAATTTTTCTGTAGAAATAATAATTCAGGCTCTTCATTCCTCCATGAGTCATTAGAGCAGATTTCATGTAGAAATACCACTTGATGTCAGAGCAAAATTCACATGATTTAGGCTCTCCAGGTCGTGTTCTGGATTTAAAATACTCCAAAAATGCACAAAACTATTAGAATTATGTCTACTTTCTATATTATTTTTTTTCAGGTGATATTTATGCCCATATCTTCACATCCGCTATCTCAGGTCCCTTTAATGAATACTTCAGGGATTTTGATGCCACGTGTTGGCAGACCAAATGTAATATTTATATGCAATGAGCTGTTAGTTTTTTGTATTGTACAAATGTAAATTTGTAAAGATTTTTTTCTAGAGTTTTTTTGAAGTCACTGATGTAATCTAGGATGTTTCATTTTCCAGCTGTGGGATTGTCTTAATAAAAAAAAATAAAAAGAGAAACTCTTACTTGGTTTTGCATTGCTTCCTGAGTAGTTGACACATTAAAAGGTAAAAAAAAGGTAAAATGGAGGTTTTAATTTTAAAAAAAAATGCTTTTTGATGCAACTGGTTAATTTTATAGTTTTAATTGGAAGTTTTATAAACTGGATAGAGAAACTATATATAAATTGATAGAGAAGCTTTCAGACACTGTGAAGGTCTTGAGCAGGATGGGATGCACACCCTCACCCCCATCACCATCCAGTCTGGCTCCAAAATCCCATTTTTCTGGGAAAAAAGGATAGGAGCAGCTAATGATTTCTTTGGGGAAAAAACGGAAAAATGCCTAAAAGTGCTGTGAAATGGCTAAAAATGCCATGAAAGGGGAGGAGGAGGAGGCTCTGGGCGAGATCCCCCGGCCACTGTGGGACACGGGTGGGTCCAGGGGGTGATGGCCCCAGGGGAAGGTTGTACCTGTTAAATAAGGGATATTTCATGGGAAACAAGGAATTGCTCCTCTGCTCTTGCCCTTGTTAAATAGCAGTGCTAACATTGTTTAAACAGGGATTTTGGGGGTGGCTGGGGCTGGGTTTGTGTAGAGCTGCCGGAGGGACTTGGTGCTCGGCCAGGGGCAGGTGCTGACAATAAATACATGGAATAAACTCAGCAGGAATTTCTTCCTGGAAAGGGTGTCCAGGCATTGGAAGGAGCTGCCCAGGGAGTGGGTGGTGGAGTCCTCACCTGTGGAGGTGTCCAAGGAAGGACTGGAGGAGGCACTCAGTGCTCTGGGCTGGGGACAAGGTGGGCAACGGGCACAGGTTGGATTTGGTGGTCTGGGAGGCCTTTTCCAGCATTAATAATTCTGGGATTCTGTCATTCTATTCTGACTTTTCCCCTCATTAATCTGCTGACTTATTTGACATTTCACTTTATTGCAGTGATTCCAGTGGCATTTCCTCTCCAATGGGAATGAATATCTCCATTTTAACACAACACTCATCCTCCAAACCCCAGGGACAAAAAGGCTTTTTCTTGTTTCTCTTTTTTTTTTTCTTGATGGTTACAAAGAACAAAATTAAACTTGTTTTGCAGAGATGCTGGAGCCAGCCTTTATGTACATCCATCAGATGGCATTGGAGGGAAGGAACTCCACTCCCTTCAGAGCTGCTTGACCTTTGCTAAACATCCCTTGGCTGTCCCTCTGTCGATATTATATTTGATATTATATTGATATTATATCACAGCTGTTGTATGCTTTATATCATCGTGTTAAGGTCATATAATGCACATTATAAATGCATGGATAATAAATGGATAATGCACGTTATAAAATACATTATATAAAATACCAGAGTGGTAGAGAACAACTGTTTTTCCCATGCACTTCGGAAATGTGTTTGTAGAAGTACCTTTTTAAAGGTATTTTTTATAGATGTCTTAGCATTCAGCTGTGATTTTTATGCATTTCAGCAGCGAGTGGACTCAACACTGCCTTGCAGTGGGTCATCCCAACGCTCATTTCCAGCCTGGAGAACCCCAGGAGCACCTTTTTGAATTCACCCCCACGATGGTTCAGGTGTGCAGGGCGCTGCCGGTGACATCGCGGGCACCGTGTGGCCCCGGAGCCTTCCCGAGCAGGGAGAGGCCAAGCTTTGCCTCCATCCCAGCTGTCCGGTCCAACGGGAACGGCGTGATCCGAGCTCGGGATCACGAGCTCGGGGGTGGGATTTTGGGGGATGCTGCTGTGCAGGGCCAGGAGCTCCGTGATCCCCGCGGGTCCCTGCCAGCCTGGCAGAGTCAGTGACTCTGTGCCAGTCCCTCAGTGACTCTGTGCCAGTCCCTCAGTGACTCTGTGTCGTTCGCCCTCCGTTTGGTACATCCAGGAGCTGGGTTTGGGCACACCGTGAGGCCGCCGGCAGTTTGGAGCCGTTTGGAAGGCCGGGGGTGCCGGGTGAGCCAGCACCTCCGTGCCCCGTCTGACAAGACCTCGGGTGTCCTTGTTTCTGGGTGAATAAAAGCGTCTTTGTGCCGAGCCCCGGGATCAGGTGAGGAGCCGGGGCCCGGCCCGTGACGCAGGTGCGGGCGGTGCTGGCGGCGCTCCCGGCCCGGGCCTTCCTCCCGCTCTGCCCGGGCCGAGCCCTTCCCTCCGCCGGCCGTGGCCGGCCCGGGGCTGACGCAGGACCTGCCCTCCTCCATCAATATTTGCTCTGGTGCAGCAGGCAAGGCTCGCAGCGCTCCCGCAGGAGCTCCAGCCCCACACGTCCCCCCTCGACGGTGCCGGAGCCCCGCGGAGCATGAGGGACCGGCTGGCGGAGCTGCAGCAGCGAGCGGCGGCCGAGGGGGACCCGCACGACGACTGCCCGCGCTTCGACAACCCCGCGTTCGTCGGGGACGACGCCAGCCCCGTGGGCCGGGCGCTGCGGGAGGCGGCCGAGCTGTGGCGGGCGCTGGAGCGGCTGGAGCAGCTCTCGGAGAGCATCGACAGGACGCAGCAGTCGGTGCTGTGCTGCACCTCGGATGAGAGCATCGCCCGCCACACCCTGCAGCCCCGGCTGGGAGCGCTGCCGGCGGCCCCGGCCGGGGGCTCGGGGCGAGCGGGGCCCCGCGTCCGCCAGACCCAGCTGTGGCTGCTGCTGCGCCGCTACGGCGCCGTCCTCGCCCGCCACTACGCCCGCGAGAGCCGCTACCGGCACCGGCTGAAGGAGCAGATCCAGAGGCAGGCGGAGCTGGCGGGCATCAACCTCGGCGCCCAGGACGTGGATGTGCTGGCCGAGAGCCCCCAGGGGCCTCGCATCGTCGGCCGCGACCTGGAGGAGCTGAAGGCCAAGCACCACCTGGGCCTGGCCCAGGCGCGGCAGCGGCAGCTGCTGGAGCTGGAGGCGCAGATGCTGGAGCTGCGCGGGCTGTTCGTGCAGCTGGAGGGGCTGCTGGCCCAGCAGCACGGCGCTGCCGACAGCGTGGAGCTGCACGTCCTGCGCACCCTGGACTACGCGGCGCAGACGGGCGGCGGCGTGAAGAGAGCGGCCAAATACCAGCGGCCGTCGCGGCGCTCGGCCCTGCTGAGGGCGGCCCTGGGCCTCTGCTCCTGCTGCCCCTGCCTGCCCTGCCCCGGCCGCGGCCTGCGCTGAGCCCGGGCTGCGGGGCACTGCAGCGGGGGTTCACCCGCGCCGGGACAGAAACCGTGTCCTGTGCTCCTGGAACAGCGGGGCAGGAGATGTGCACGCCTTGTGTGATGGTGCGAGGACCGTGCGTACCCTGTAAAGTGGTGTAAGGGGGTGCACGGCTTCCTTGATGGCACAGAGACCATGCACGACTTGCTCAGGGATGCAGGGTCCATGCACACCTCACATGGCAGCATGGGGAGCACACACAGCTTCCCTGAGGGCACAGGGACCGTGCACATCCTCCTGAGAGCACAGGGACCATGCACACCACTCCTGATGGCACGGGGACCGTGCACACCATTCCTGAGGGCACAGGGACCGTGCACACCACTCCTGAGGGCACAGGGACCGTGCACACCACTCCTGAGGGCACAGGGACCGTGCACACCATTCCTGAGGGCACAGGGACCGTGCACACCATTCCTGAGGGCACAGGGACCGTGCACACCACTCCTGATGGCACAGGGACCGTGCACACCATTTCTGAGGGCACAGGGACCGTGCACACCTTCCCTGATGGCACAGGGACCATGCACATGATTCCTGAGGGCACAGGGACCGTGCACACCTTGGGTGGCAGCACAGGGACCGTGCACACCTTCCCTGATGGCACAGGGACCATGCACATGATTCCTGAGGGCACAGGGACCATGCACACCATTCCTGATTGCACAGAGAGTGTGCACGCCATTCCTGATGGCACAGGGACCGTGCACACCTTGGGTGGCAGCACAGGGACCGGTTGCACCTTGCACAGAGATGGAATAACCATTCACACCTCACCTGGGAGCACAAGGACCAGGAACCTCTTGCTTGGTGGCACAAGGACTGCCAGCACCTTTCCGGATGGCACAGGGACCCTGCCCACCTTGTGTGGAGCATGGGGACCAGGCACACCTTGTGCATTTATGTAAGGACAATGCACAATGATAATGAAAAAAAAATTACATGATGATGTAAAGAGCATGCACACCTTGCAGATCTTGATGGCTTCATGGGGACCATGCACTTCCATTGCAGCACCCAGCCAAGAAAAGCACTTTCTACACTCCAAAACCTGACTTCAGAACTGTCACATTTTTGGTTTTGTTACTGTGTCAAGGAGAGAGGGCAAAAAGCCTGTTGAAGTTTTTGGCAGGTCTGTGGTTACATTTCAAGGGACTCAATGGCTTGGTGCCCCCAAGGAGCAGCATGAAGGTTCCTCCACCACACCCCAACCCTGATTCTTCTCGCTTCCTCCAATTTCTGCTTCCTTGGGGTTGTTTGGTGCATTCCTGTTGCATTTTGGTCGTTGCTGGTTTGCCAGGCAGTGGGTCAGCTTTGGGCTGGGTGTTCCTCATGGCTCATCCCATGCTCTGACACCAGGAGAGGATTTGCACAATTGTTCTGGGAATCTGCAGGCTTTTACTTCAACCTGCACATTGCCAAGCCAGCCAATGTCCCACACATGCTGGAAATGCTGGAAACTTCGAGTGGCCCTTTTATTTGGCCCCCATATCACCACCTGAATTTCCCAAAACCTCTCAAATTAAAGCCTGGGGCTGGTTAAAGTTTTTGGGGACCCTTTGTGGAAGGTCCCTCTGTGTCCTGGCAGTTCCTGGCAGCTCATCCCAGTGCTCTCAGCCACTCTTACATTTATTTTCATCTTCTGGCTGAGCTTTAATAAAACAATTTCTCAATAACCTCTTGAGTGTGGAGAGTTATTTCTTTGCAGCAGGGAGCCCAAAGCTAAGGAAGAGCAGAAATTGAATGACTTCTCAGTCTGTTGATTGAGTTAAATTCTTAGGAATGTAGAAAACTTAATTTTCAGGCTGATAAATTCATATTTTCTGTTGACCTGGAAGATCCCCACATCAGGAATGTCCATCCCTATGAGAGCTCTGGGTGCCAAGTTGAGTGGTTTCTGTTCCTGCCCTCTTCCTCCTTCTTTATTCTCCATTTGTGAGGTCTAAATGAATATTCCTTTTTTATTCAAATTTTGATGAATGGAAGTTCACTTTTATTTAATTTTCATTACAAAAACCCAAACCCACGACTTCCAGACCACTGGAAACAGCCCTTGCATCCCACATCCCACCCCACATTCACTCTGTGGCTGCAAGAGCCGCCTCCTGGGAAGCACTGAAGTTATTTACAGCCTCCCAGGATACAAAGAGAAGGGAAACAAACCTGCTGAGCTTGGGAGGTGGCAAATCTGAGCTCAATAAAACATATTTAACCTCCTTTCACGTCCCACTGTCAGAGCTCGTGCAAACAACCTCCCTGGAGCCCTCTGGGGTGGCCGGGCAGTGTCTGGCCCGACTGGTTTTGCTGCTCAGGAGATCCTTATCCATAAAACCCAGGGAAAAGCTGGGTCAGCAGCAGAGCCTGCAGCCAGGACGTGTTCCCTGAGGATCTCATGGAGCACAGCTCCCCTGGCACAGAGGGGATGGTCCTGTGCTCGTGGGGCTGCAGCAGCCACGAGGTCTGAGTGTGGGACAGCAGGGGAATAACCCTGGTTGTGTTCAGGGATCCACGAGGAGGAAAAGAGGAGAAACTTCATACCTTGGAGTGGATCTTTCCAGTGACTTCAGTGGTTAATGAGATTTTATGTATTTTTGCTTTTTTCTTTCTGCTGCCTGGTGGCCTTTCTTTAAATACTGGCCTTAGACAGGATCTAATTATTGCAGAGCAAAATAATTAATGATATTGTAATGTGGGCATGAACACCCAACAGGATGGGGAAGATTCCCTTCTCTTCTGACTCTGGGACTGACCTGGAACACATTTGGGAATATTCCTGGAGGTGGTGACACCAAGGTGCAGAACCTGCTGTAACAGTTCCAAGAATATACATGAGAGAGCTGTTTTAATTATGTCACAAATGAGCATCAGAAATGTAAGAAGTTCACATTTAAAGGGAAAAATAAGAGAAAGCCAAAGTTAAAAATTCATGCCCCTCAGCTCTGCTCTGTGCTCAAACTCATGGAAGGCACCGAAAGAGGAATTTTTGGTAAAATGTATTAAAAGGGGCTGGATGAAAAGCCCAAAGCCTTTGTAACTGTGCTGGCAGCACCTGCAAAGTCTTTCTGTTGAGGAAGTGTCACTGAAAAGAAGTTTTTTTTAAGAACACAAAATCTTTTGCTGACATTTAGACAAGTAAATAATTCCAGAGCAAATTAATCACCCTGCAGAACTTGTTTTTAAGGTGAGGTGGGTTATCACAGCTCAAGAGTTCCTGCTCAGGGACCCTGGGGGGGTTGTGAATTCCAGCTCAAACACTGAGCTTTGGTTCCTTCCATGCTGTTGATCTTTGATGTCACAACAAAACCCCACAAACACAATAATTTCTTGTAAATACAGGTTTTTAAAAGCCTCCTGAACACTGAAAAGGAATTCAGTTCCCTGAATTCTCTTGCATGTGAAGCATCTCTTTGGCCAAACCTCTGGGCATCCACTTTTATCAGCAAAATGGGGGCAGGAAGTTGAACCATGATTTCACTTTGTTGTTCTCCAGTTCCCCAGCACAAGAGGAAGGATAAATTCTTCATTCAAAATATCTAAATATTTTAATTCAATAGGAGATATTGAATGGATTATATTTGCATTTTTTTCATTGAAAACAATTCCTCAATATTTCCAGAAATTTTTCAAAAAGGGGTTTTTTCAGTTCTCAAATCACACTTGGTAATTTTATTCTGAATATGCTTAGGGTCAAATCAGAAATCCCTTCTGTGTGGGGGCTACCAAGTGATTGTTTTTCTTCAAAACACTTTTTACAGTTCCCTCCCCAACCCAGGAGTGTGTCAGCAGTTTAAATTGACTTGATTTGTTTTCTCCTCAGTTTTTCCTGTATTTTGCAGTGAATCAACAGCTCTATTCATAGAGCTCATCAAATATCTGCTGCTGTCTCTCCAAAAAAATACAGATATCTAGCTGACAAGCCTTCCTGCAGGAGTAGGGATCTCTGCCAAGAAATTCAGGGGAGACACTGCTTGTGTTGGAAACCCCATCCTTGGCTTTTAGCAACAAATTGAGCTCATTTTTGGTTTTTGCCTCACCTGGATGTCTTCGGTGTCCCTGATCTGTGTGGGCAGCCTGGAGCAGGTCACATCTCAGTCTGAGGTAATTTTTAAGGGGGTTTAGGCATGAACTGAATTGCGTTTTCCAGGGATAAAACACTGCTGTTGGATTTCCCTGTCAGGGATGAAATTTTATGTCCATGTCTCTTCCTGCAGTCAACTCATACAAAATCTACCAGCAATAATTTAGGATCACAGAATCCCAGAACGGTTTGGTTTGGAAAAGGCCTTGAAGATAACCCAGCCCCACCCCTGCCATGGCAGGGACACCTTCCACTGTCCCAGGCTGCTCCAAGCCCCATCCAGCCCAGCCTTGGACACTCCCAGGGATGGGGCAACCACAGCTTCTCTGCAAAACCCATTCCAGGGCCTCCCCACCCTGACAGCCGGGAATTCCATCCCATTATCCCAGCTGACCTTGCCCTCTGGCAGAGGGAAGCCATTCCCCCTTGTCCTGTCACTCCTGGGCAGCTCAGACTGGAAACTCCTGTTTCCCGGAGCCTGAAGCCCTGTTTGCACAAATATTTTTTTTTTTTTTCCAAGCAGAGACTCAGATTTAGGGGCTGTTCCTGAATGGGGGGGCAGAGCTTTCATGATGGGAAAGAAAGGAGAGGGATTTGTGGCAATATTTTATTCTCACCACGTTCCCATAACGCCGTGGGAATGACGGATACGTCACAGTCTGCCAGGATCCCACAGTGCCACTGCAGGATGAATCAAGGAGAGCATCTCAGGCATGATTTGGTGCCTAAGAGCTCTTTGCAAGGCTCCAAGTGAGATCCAGGGGACAGCTGGATGTTGTCCCTGGCAATCTGCATTGCAGGATGAGTCACGCCCAGGGATGGGACAGTGGTGACATCCACGGAATGACTGCCCTGGCTTTGCCTGGAAACGGGGTCAGAG